GACATTTCCAGCAAATTCCCTCTTTCCTTGGCTCAAGGACATTGTTACGACTCATGCTTTGTTCATTCCTGCAAGTACATAGCTGGCTGGTCCCCTGGCCAAAGTAATATCCCCGTCTTTCCATATGGATGCTGGGAGGGTGATATCGACAGGAAATGAGATAAATTTATCTTAAGGTATCCTTGGAAACGGCGAACAGATCTGGAACAGAGGGCTAAGAGTCAGAGATTGTTAGCCACCTATTTAGTTTTTCTCCAACAGCTTCCACCTCCCCTTCTCGTGCTTGCTCCTGACGGGACCCAACGCTTCCCATCTATCGTGCCCTCCATTATCCCTTTCAAAGACTAATTCAATTCCCAACTTCTCCTTGAACATGCCCCCTGCCATTCTAACTCAGGGGCTCTCTTCCTGCAAAACTACAGGACAGATTCTCTCCTGAGCAAAAACCTTTGCTTCTCTCCCACAGCACTATCACAGTTATGCACAAAGACATTCCAGAGGATAATTACTGAAAGGAGAAAGCACATCAGACCTGGGCATTGCCCTTAAGAAGTTCACTGTCCAGTGCAGAAGAACACTGTGATTTAGGCTGAGAGTAGTCAGAGATAAAGAATGCAAAGAGTCTGGCTGGTGTGGTTCAGTGGTTGAGCATCGACCTATGAACCAGGAGGTCAGGGTTGGATTCCCAGTCAGGGCACAGGCCTGGGTTGCAGCTCGGTTGCCAGAAGGGGGTGTGCAGGAGGCAGCCAATCAATGATTTTTTCCTTATCATTGTTATTTCTATATCTCTCTCGCTCTCCCTTTCTCTCTGGAATCAATAAAGATATTTTTTTAAAGGTTGTTTAAAGAGTGTCAAGATAAACTACTGTCCTTTACAGTATCACTTCAGGCTGAGCAAAATCAGGGTAAACCTTGTGGGAAACGCAACAGGTGTGTAGAGCTGTGAAGCATGGATGAGTTTGTGGTTCTAGAACCGGTGGAGAGGTCATTCCAGACGTAGGAAACAACCTCAACTTCAAATCTGAAGAGTGAGGAGTGCAGGTTATGTATGAAAAGCATCAAATAGGTTACTGTGGTTGGAATGAAGGGTAGATCAAGGAATATAGTAGAAAACAGGGTTGCATAGGAAGTTGGGAGGCCGGTGCTCCGCTGTGGGAGTGCACTGACCACCAGGGGGCAGCTCCTGTGTTGAGCGTCTGCCCCCTGGTGGTCAGTGCACATCATAGCGATTGGCCGACCAGTTATTCAGTTGCTTAGATTTTTATATACAGAGAGGTGCATATATATATTTCAATCTTTATTGTTGAAAGTATTACATATATCCCCCTTTGACCTCTTCTAACCTGCCTCCCACCCTGCCACAGGCCTTCACAACTCTATTGTCTGTTTCCATGGATTATGCATACATGTATAACTTCTCACTTCACAAGATTCAAGCAAGCTATCTGTGTGCCTGAACTATACAGAGCTATTAAGCTAATAACTTAAAAAAATGTTTTATTGATTTTAGAGAGAGAGGAAAGAAGAGGGATAGAGAGTTAGAAACATTGACGAGAGACATGTTGATCGGCTGTCTCCTGCACATCCCCCACAGGGGATTGAGCACACAACCCCTGACTGGGAATTGAACTAAGGACTTCTCAGTGGGTTGACACGGAACCACTGAGCCCACACAGCCTGGGCTTAAGCTACAAAATTTTTATTAGATACAAGCCAAATTCACTACTTGTAACTTGTGTGAAAGAGAGGCAGTTTTTCAGAGTTTCCTGATACAGAGAAACTGAGGCTTGGAGTATTTTCTCCATGCAAACTCAGTCGTTGAGGCCCTTTCCTACAGCTTCATCTCATCCCAAGTCTACTATCCTCTTCTTTTAAAAAACAGAACCAACATGTTACACCTGATCTAAAGAGTCACTTGTTCTATTGCTTGAAATCAGAGGATGCCACCGAAAAGCCTTTTTTGTTTGTTTGCTTGTTTGTTAAAAACAGTTGGGTAATATTAACAACAAATCCCCCAAATCATATCTTTACATCCACATGTAATCATACACTGGTACAGGAAACCTTCCTGAAACTCAGTGTCTCATGCTCCCGAAATTAAGCCTGAAATATGTTCATCAGGAAGATACCAGGTGAGCTGGAGACAGAACATTTGCTTTATTGGGGGGGGGGGGATAGGGGGGTGTCTTCTATCTGTTGGTATCCCATAGCAACACAAACTCAGGACCTCTGAAATGTTTAAGGACCACAAAGCTTTTAGTTGGATCTGGGCACACAGTCTGGTGATATTCACTGAGTGAGTGTAGGTGTGAAATAGTTTAATTGAATTCTGTAATTAAAGCTTAAAAAACACAATTTTATCTTTTAAACCCCCCCCACACACACACACACACAAAGTAGGATAACTTCCCCTTGTTAAGACACCAGTAAGTTTTCCTAAAATTCTCATTCGTTGTCTCTCCTCCAAAGATGTTAGCTTGCTCTTTTTTTTTTTTTTTAAGGAATTCGTGCTTTAATGAATTTCAAATGGATTTTGTAGAAAATAAAGGAAAATGTCTAACTTAAAAAAAAAAGAATTTATATAATTTAGCTCTGAACACAGTGAAGAAAAGGGGACAATTAACATCTACTGTGCACCTGTTATATGCCAGACATGTCACATTCATTCTCACAGCAGCTTGACAATAATACTTCATAGTAAATTTAGCTCTGATGTTAGCGACAAGAAAACCAAAGCTCAGAGAGGTTAAGCTAGCCACTCTAGGTCAAATGGCAAGTTATAAAACTAGGGTTGAAACTAGAGCTGCCTGGTTCCAAAGCTCAAGCACTTTCTACTCTATCAGTGGAGTTCAGGGGGGGGGGGGGGGGGGGCGGGAATCCACTTCTGAAAGGGCCTTTCCATTTTAGGCATAAAAGAGTTTTAGTTACAAGTCTCTGGAGTCCCTACATTTCATTTGGTATTTGCACTGAATGCCACCCAGCCCCCTACAAACACACACACACACACACACACACACACACACACACACACACACACACACCCCTCCACCCCACACTCTTTCAGTCCGCCCAATTGAAATTCAGCACCGAGGACAGCTCCCAAATTCCATTTGCAGGGAGCTGTCCTTGATGGCTGTTCTGGAGCTCACACCGCCTTCCTGACTTCCCAAGTGGCACCGAGACAGAGAGGAGGAGATGGAAGAAAGTGTAAGATGGGGTCCTCTGGCACCATGGTAGAAATTAGCACGTTTCCCGGAAGATCGAGATAAAAAAAGAAAATACATGTGAGACAGATGGGGCACTCAAATGGAGTCAGAATGAGCTCTTCAGGATTCCCAGAACATGGCGTGCGTCCACCTGGGGCTCTCAGCGGACCTGGGAGCCCGGAGACAAAGGGGATGAGTGGGTGGCTACGAGGCGGCTGCGTCAGTTACACGAACAGACTGGGTGGCGCTGATTCACTGCTGCAGAGCTGCACGACTTTCCGAGCAGAGGGAAACCTGTGGGCCCTGGTCTCTGCCACTCATCACCACCCTCGCCGGGAGCATGAGTCAGACCGGCGGGATTCTTCAGGCAGAGAAGATTGCTATGCGGTGAGTCGATCGAGGGTGAGCTTTTCTGTTGTGGAGAGCAGGTGTCAATCATGGCCACAGCATCCCCGGAGGTGGGCGCTGACCTGCTGTGTGCACACACACTCACCCTGCCTGCCTTCCCATGCTCACCCTGGACACAGGTGGATCATCACACAAACAGGAAGAACAAAGTCCTGGGAGCTTCATCTCCCTGAACAGTGATTCTTGCTCAAACTTAGCAGCTTTTGAGCTGAACCGGGGGATGGCAGGGGGGGAGGGCAGGAGGGGTATTTTTGGAGAGCCCAGTCTAATGCCCAAATCTTCTACACAGCAAACAGATGTCCAGAGAGGGTGCCTGACTCGCCCCAAACCACTTAGCTAGTGACATTGTTGTTGTTAGGCCTCGGTCCCTTGTTCCTAAGCCATCAGGAAGACAAAATAAAACCCCCAATAGCATCCGCCCTTTTACCCAAGGCCCTCTCATTGCACCGTGTTCAAACCAAACATCTTAAACGCCTCCGTCTTTCCATCCGGGCTTTGGTGATGTCCCTGATCGGGTCTCACATAGCAATCTCTTTTGAGAAATGTAATTATTTGGGGATATACACTTGGCTATTTTTTTGGTTTTGTGCTTTCTTTGTGCAGGGGGAAATTAGAATTCTGGAAACACTCTGTTTTATTTAATTATTAAAGGAACCAGCCTGTATTTCAAGTAGCTGCAAATATAAATGCTTCGGTCTGTGTCAAGAAAGGATATATGGAGCGACAGAGGCTATGGTACTCTATTGTCACATGCGATTAAGATCCACCATGGCCTAAAAAATAAAAATAAAGCTCAGCCCAGTGAGTTGAAAATTGAAAGTGAAATCCTTATCTGGGTAATTCTGAACCTGTCTGGATTTTGGTGCCTCATGGAATCATCTAAAATGTAGCGTTTTATAAAAGTGTTTTGCAACGTCGTTACCTCCATGATTGCAATTTGTGTATGTGAGAGCTCCTTTAAACTTCTGGAGTTTTCCAGGGACTGGGGTCAGAAAGATGCAGAAGAGATGAATCTATTCAAGGTCAAAGGTACAATGTGAAACTGATATCCACTCTGCTGGTGAGGCAGATCAAAAGAGACATTAGCCCAATACCCCTACCCCCACCCACCCCCAGGCCCACCCCACACCTTTTCCACTAATGAGTGCCCTTACCTGAGCCGTCACCTAGCTCTTTGTCCTCTGCTTCGGGTGTTATTAGACCAGACTTCCTGTCTCTAATTTTCATCCATGAAGAGATTTTCATGAATAGGACTTTCCTTATAACTTAGCAACACTGTCCTTGAATATCCAACAACTCTTTCCAGCACAGAAGCTATTGTTTGAAGTGCAAAGCAGATCAAAATCGGGTTGCTGAGGATTAATCACTGCAGCCTACTTTATATCATCATCACAACTTCATCTATTTCGATACAGTTTGACACAGCATCAACCTCCGCTTCTGTGCGCGAGTGACAAAACCATTTGTTTCTGGCGTAACGGATAATGTGATTAATGGCCTTGCAACTGGGTTTCTTAAAAAACAGAGAGAGAAAAATAAGGATTTCCATTTATAACATGCAGTAAACCAGCTCAGCCTGCTGCTGTGCGTTGGAAAATCTTTTGGAACTTGTGTGTAAACCACAGGCAAGATTTTGAAACAAATGTGCGCCTGCCTTTTGGGGTTTCTGCCCATATCTGTTCTCTCCAAAAATCTGAGGACAGGGGGCTTCAAAAGGAGAAACTGGACCTGTGCGCATCCCATATACCAGTGCATGAGCGGGGCCCGGTTTTCCTCGGAGGCACCATGATGTTGACTGCGGTGGAATGAACCCCAGCCCGCCCAGCTATTGCTGAATACGGTCACCATCTGCTGGACTGTGGAGAGCTCTGCGCGTGGCCTTGACCCTGGCCCCACTCCATCCATGCCTGTTGCACGCAGGCGTCCCCTCTTCACAGCGCCTGCAGCCTGTGTCCATCCCCGCGGACCTGAGGATCTCCCCGAGGCGGGGACAGGGATGCGGATGCAAAGGGTGTCTAGGGAGCCTCCTGCGTCTCCTTCCCGCCTTCAGGGCCAAGTGGCAGCAGCCCACACCAGCCACGGTGCCCCCAGGCCACAGCCCTGGGTCCCAGACCCTCCTGGGATTGCTCACCTCTCTCCCTCGGGAAGTGGGCGTCAGCCCCCCTCCAGCTTCGGGGCTGCGGCGCCCGCTAAGCGGCTCCTCCCGCCGCGCCCGGCTCCCAGCAACCTCGCCTGGGGCGCCGGGCACCGGGGGCTCCCAGCTTCTCTCCGGGCGCGACGTCGGCCTCCTCGGGTGGGTCCAAGGGGCACCCGGACTCGCCGGCCAAGGCTCCTGTAAGGGCACCCCGGGGATTTTTTAAAAATCCCAGCCCTTCTTTCCTGGGGGGAGAGCTTCTGGAGCTCGCGCCCCCGCGCCGGCCCGCTGGGCGAAGGCACCCCGGCCCCGCCCCTCGCGTGACGCGCGCCCGGCGGGGCCAATCAGCGCTCGCGGGGCCGGCCCCACGCGCCGCCACCCCCCGGCTTAAGAAAGGGCGCGCGGGCGGCCGGGCCAGAGCGCGGCGTGCAGGCGGCTCCGCGAACTCCGGCTCCGCTGCCCTCGAGCTCCGCGCCCGGAGGAGGCTCCCGGCCGCGCGCCCCGACGGCGCCCACCCGCCGGTGCCCGAGCGAGCGCCGCGGCGCCGGGGCGATGCTGGCGCTGCTGGCCGCCGGGCTGGCGCTCGCCGTGGCCGCGGCGGCGCAGGACGTCCCGGCGCCCGGCAGCCGCTTCGTGTGCACCGCGCTGCCCCCGGAGGCCGCGCGCGCCGGCTGCCCGCTGCCCGCGGCGCCCGAGGAGGAGCTGCGCGCGGCGGTGCTGCAGCTGCGGGAGACCGTCGTGCGGCAGAAGGAGACGCTGGGCGCGCAGCGCGAGGCCATCCGCGAGCTCACGGCCAAGCTGGCGCGCTGCGAGGGGCTGGCGGGCGGCAAGGACACCATGGGCGACCTGCCCCGGGACCCCGGGCACCTGGTGGAGCAGCTCGGCCGCTCGCTGCAGGCCCTCAAGGACCGCCTGGAGAGCCTCGAGGTAGCGGGGCGCCGGGGGCCTGAGGGCGGGTGGGGTGTGGGGGACAGCTGGGCGGGGGTGGGGCGCTCGGTCCTGCCCGCGATGCCACGCGGGAATGGAAAGGAGCCGGGTTTGGGGCGGGAGTTCTAGATCCCACCGGCGCGGCTCAACCCTCCACCCTGGAAGTCCCCCCCGCGCGCCAGGGCAGCCCACAGGGCGGCCATTCACTTAGTGAGGTTCGGGCTGGCCGACCCGGACGGCCTGCTCTCTCCTTGCAAGTCTCCGCGTCTCCCCGGGGCGGGGGCGGGGGGGCCTCCCGGAGGTTGCTTCGGGGTGACCTGAGGCTGCTGCTGCGTGAGGCCAGCGGCCCCTGGCCCCCCGCATTTCCGTTATTCAGTCAGGTCGGGGTGGTCCGGAGCGGGCAGGGGCCTGAGGAGGTGGGGGGAGGGCGCTTGGCGGGATGCGAGCGCAGCGCGGGTGGCGGGTCACCGGCCGCACCCGCCCGGGACTCACCTTGGAGGCAGGAGGCAGCCGGTTAACTTCAAAGGCATCCGCTGGAGAGCCGCGCGGTCCGAAGGTGCCCTTCCGCGTGCCTGGTAGGAAAGGACCTTACCCAGCTTCTCTCGGAAGGCGGTGCCCTTTGGAACTTAGAGAGAGAAATCTCCCTTTCATCCCCGTCTCTGCTACCAAGTGGGGACGTTTCTGTGCAACACGTTTACCCAAACCCTCCTCCCAAAGCCAGGTTTCAATGACCAGCGGCGATTAGTGCAGCGTTGTTGGAGGATTTCCAGAGGTGGTGGGTACAGGCAGCATCTCCAGCGTCTGCCTGTCCCCGGACTCACTGTGATGGGTGACAGCTAGCCTTTGGGAGCACTGAAGTGTAGACAGAGTATCTAACGGTAACCAGACACACACACACACACACACACACACACACACACACACACACAGAGAGAGAGAGAGAGAGAGAGAGAGAGAGAGGGTTTGGTTAGGACCCGGGGCTGGGTAGCAGCAGGCTCCTCCGGAGCCCTATGGGAATCGGGGAGAGACAGGAACAGGCAGGAGGCGGTAGCCGGTCCCTGGATCTCAGGATGTCCGTGCCTCAGATCTCCCGTGTCCAGGGATGTCTCCACACGCAGGATTTGGCCACACTGGGTCTGTTTCCATTTCTAGATGAAAGTGCATCCACGTTGAGGACTGTTTGACTAACTCAAAAAAAAAAAAAGATCCTGCCTGTGCTTGGGGTTTTGCTGGAAAATGATAGATGTTGGTTGACATTTTCTAGTTAGAGGTGCCAAAATCGATTTTTTGGGGGGGCCGAAGATGAGATTCCCAAGTTCCGAACACTGCCGCAAAGTTATTGTCTGACTTTGAAATCCTTTCCATACCAAAAAAAAAAGCCTCTGAAATGCTTGGAAGCAGCTCCCTCTGTGCAGAGCTGGTCCCAGTTTCTCTCTGACCGGCCTTTAATGCCTTCCCCCCTCCCTCCCCCCAGCACCAGCTCCGAGGGAACGTGTCTAGCGCCGCGTTGCCGCCCGGCGACTTCCGAGAGCTGCTCCAGCGGCGGCTGGGGGAGCTGGAGAGGCAGCTGCTGCGCAAGGTCGCGGAGCTGGAGGACGAGAAGTCCCTGCTGCACAACGAGACCTCGGCGCACCGGCAGAAGACCGAGAGCACCCTGAACGCGCTGCTGCAGAGGGTGAGCGAGCTGGAGCGAGGTGGGTGCCCTGCTGCCCCCCGTCTCTGTGGCCCGCGGCCTCGCGCTCCTCCAGCCCCCCCAGCCACCCCCACCCCCTCTTGGTTCTCGGCTGCAGTGTCCCGGAAGCTGGGCTCAGAGCAGGGAGGGCAGGCAGAGAGGAGCCAGCCCGGGGTGCTCTTGTCCATTGACAGACAGGCCATCTGGGGGAGGGCGTGGCTGCCCCCGCACCCCCACCTGCTGACTCTGTTCCCAGGTGGTCCGCTGAGATAGGCTCAGAGGCCGTGCCTCGTTGGCCCCAGGGCTGCTTAGCCTTCCTTGTCTGCCACCCTCAGCCTGTCTGATGCATTGGCCAGGCCCTGTGATGCCTTCGTTGGTTTTAGCTAAGTTTCTTCTGGACGTCCCAGCTGTGTGGTATAAACGGAGGGCACTGGCTCCGGCAGGACAGGTCCCCTGCCCCCCCCCCCCCCCCCCCCCCCCGCCCTAGGCTCTCCCGGCTCTGATTAAACCGATCTGCCATTCCCAAGCCCACGGCATCACCAACACACAGCCTGCCCACCTGCAAGGGCCGAAGCTATTTCTCTTTATTAGATCATCACGCCTTCATGAGGCACAGGGGCACCTGCAGGTCACAGACTTGGTGGCTGCACAGAGTAGAAAGAGGGGCTGCTGTTCGCCGCTCTGCCATCCCTTCCCGAGGGCCCTGAGCCGTGGTGCAAGCCAGGGGCTGGGGCTTCCTGGTTCTCTGAGTTTTGCTTCAGCCTCTGGTGGGGCCTTAGAGCCTGGCCTGGCCTCACCCTTGGCTCCCGCAGGTGACCGGGTCTTCTCAGCCCTCGCAGGTGGCCAGCAGCCCTGCAGCCCTGCAGGGTGGAAGGCGCCCTGCGGGGGAGGTCAGGGTGCATCAGGCAAGACTACACAGTCAGCCCTAACCGGTTTGGCTCAGTGGCTAGAGCATCAGCCTGCGGACTGAAAGGTCCCAGGTTCAATTCCGGTCAAGGGCATACATTGGTTGCAGGCATATACCCATAGCGGGTGTGCAGGAGGCAGCTGATCCATGTTTCTCTCTCATCGATGTTTCTGACACTCTATCCCTCTCCCTTCCTCTCTATAAAAAAAGAAATAAATAAAAAATATTTCTTAAAAAAGACTCCACAATCAGCAGAGAGGAGTGAGACCACTCGTGGAGCCCAGATTCAGGCACTTCTATGCTGCCTGCTCCCAACAGGTGGGGAGGGTAACGCTGGGCCCTCAGCTTTGCTTTCAGAAGCTCTTCCCTGGCCGGCGTGTTATTGCTGTGACAGAGAAGGAGTTTGGGGGTCACGGTGGAGAAAGGTCGATCGTTCTGGCTCCTGTTCTGCAGGAGGGAGGAAGGGACTGTCTTGGTTCTGGGTCCTGGGAGCCGGCCTGTCCCTGGTGGCACATGGGGACCATCTGGCCTCGTGGTGCCTAACGAACACTTGTCCATGGAGGGCATTTAGGCTCCTCCCCTGGCAGCAGCTGGTCCCCAGATCAGAGGGGAGCTTTTGGCCTGACAGCTCACAGAATCCGGGGGTACCCTGCAAACGTTTGAACCTGGTGACCAGAGGCAGGTCCTGCGTCCTATGTGTTTATTTTTTGTTGTTAATTTTGAACTTAAATCCAGGCTGCACTGAAAATTGCTTAGGCCCATGTGAGAGTACCTATCACTTTAAAGGATTTTGAAAGCACCGTTTACATGGGGACAGCCAAGCAGATTCTCACCAGTCCCAGGTGGGCCCCAGGGGAGGGTCTAGGCTCTGGTCAGGTTGTTACCCATGTGGAGAGGAAAGGGCAAGTCCTGAGCCACGCCACGAGCCAATCCCTGTCAGGATTTATGCAAAGGCCACGTCTGAGCTAAGTTGTGGAGTCAGGACACAATCACCTGACTCTGTTGCCCTGGCAGCGGTGGCTCGTTCCTGGGAGAAGTGACAAAGGCTTGCTGCTGGCTTCACACGTGTCTGTCGAGTGCCTGGGACGCTGTCACATGTCCTGCCTCCATGCCCATCAAGTGGTTCCCGACTCCGCCCTCGCTGGGGGAGCTGAGGGTGCAAGGACGTAATGAGACCTGGCTGAGAAAGGGCTTTCTGGCTTAATTCAACCAGGAAACGAGGTCCAGCTTGTCTGTGCCTGCTGCCTCGAGGGTTGAAGAGGGAGGTCACTCTGGGTTCCTGCTGGAGTTTCAGCACCTTGGACAGTGGCTGTCTGCAGCAGATGCTCCATGGATGGGAGGATTGACTTGGGGATGGGGGATGGGGAGGAGGGTCTAGGTGAGTTGGGACACGGTCCTTGCTGGAGTGGGTGGGCTAACGGGCTGCGGGCCTCTCTTCCCCCCCAGGCAACAGTGCGTTCAAGTCGCCCGATGCGTTCAAAGTGTCCCTCCCGCTCCGCACAAACTACCTGTATGGCAAGGTCAAGAAGACGCTGCCCGAGCTGTACGCCTTCACCATCTGCCTGTGGCTGCGGTCCAGCGCCTCGCCCGGCATCGGCACCCCCTTCTCCTACGCGGTGCCTGGCCAGGCCAATGAGATTGTGCTGATCGAGTGGGGCAACAACCCCATCGAGCTGCTCATCAACGACAAGGTGAGGCCGGCCTGGGCGCCCCTTCCTCGTCACAGTCAGGGAATCGCAGGGACTCTGAGGGCGGGCTGTCCTCCCCACGGTGGGGACCGCCCTGCCTGGACTCCGTCCTGCTCTGGACAGCTGACTCGCAGGGGGCTGGCCGCTGCAGCTCGTGGAGATCTGAGCTGTGAGGCTGGGGAGAAACAGCCGAGGGTCCAGGCCAGAGGTCAGGGAGGCAGGGAATGAGCTGGGACACCTGCCTGCCAGTTTGAGTTGTCATGGGCCCTGAGGCCTGGCCAGGAGGGTGTTTCCCAGGACTGCACTGATAAGAGGACAGTGTGTGCATGTGTGTGTACGTGTGTGTGTGTGTGTGATGGTTCTCGTGAGCATATTTTGTTGGGGGTGGGGTGTTGAGGTGTAACTTACATGCAGTAACTAACATTTATACTTTTTACTGAGCGGACCAGCGTTCACAGATGCAGCCCATTTCACACCCATCACTGCAATGAGAACCCAAGGGTTGCGTCACCTCCCCGATTCCCTCATTTCCCTGGTGGTCAGCTCCTCTTTCTAGCCCAGCCCGTGGCCACCGCTGACCTGGTCCTCGTCCCTACGGTCTTGCCTTTCTCAGAGCAAAAGACCCCTTTTGATAGACGGGCTGGTTTTCTGGAGTGTGATCTCCCCAAGAGACAAGCTCTGGGCGTCTGTGGGACCCTCCAGCAGCCCCACGCAGACATTCATTCTGGGGTCCAACCCCACATGGCCAGAGCTGTGCCCTCACAGCCTCCTTGCTGGAGCTGAGCGTCGGGATGGCTCCACCCGGCCCCTCACTCTGTCCGCCTTGGGTGGAGCTTGCTTAAGTGGAAAATGCGGTGTCATCCACCTGGCGGGCTCCCCCCGCAGTGGCCACGTCTCTGAGCCCCGGAGCTCCGGAGCCCGGCACTGATGGTTTTAAACGGCTCCTTGGACACCGCCCTGAGGGCCAAGAGCCTTGTTTTCCTCTCCAGTTAGACGCCCTGTGAGCAGCCAGGTACGGGGAGGGAGAGCCGGGGTTGCTAGGACACCAGCAGTAACAACAACAGCTGGCAGCGGAGCTGGTCTGCAGAGCACTCCCAGGGCAGAGGGGTGCGGGCAGCACGCCCCTCCCCCACACTCACATGCAGGCGCAGCCTTTGTGAGTCCCCGGCGGGCGCTGCAGGGGCGCTGGGACCTCGCCTGTGAGTGCAGGCGCCTGGTCTGACTCCTGTCCGGAGACGTTTGCCCAGGGTGCCCTCGCTGCCCGGTGGCTTCTCCAGCCCGGGCGTCCACGGCCAGCGTGGGGCACAGTCTGTCACACCCGCTGGTTCGGCACAGGGTCCTGGCCCCTCAGCCACGCCAGGCCCAGGCATGTCCTGTTGAAAGCAGGGCTGCCCCGGGGCCCGGGACCTGGTGTTCCCAGCCCGAAGGTCTCTGAGGCGGGCGGGCGGGCCAGGCATGTCACCCACAAGCAGAGAAGGGGCGACCAGGGCGACCTGGAGGGACCCCGTGGCTCCGTCCCCCCAGCTCAGACGCCCGGGACACCCCCAGGGCCTCACCTGCCCGTTGCCCCCCCGCAGGTGGCACAGCTGCCCCTGTTCGTCAGCGACGGCAAGTGGCACCACATCTGCGTCACCTGGACCACGCGGGACGGCCTGTGGGAGGCCTTCCAGGACGGGGAGAAGCTCGGCACCGGGGAGAACCTGGCCCCCTGGCACCCCATCAAGCCGGGGGGCGTGCTGATCCTCGGGCAGGAGCAGGTGGGTCCGGGGGCTGAAAGATGGGAGCAGCTGGGCCTGCAGGCCGCCCTCTCCCCACCCGGCTGTCTGCCTGCTGGAGGGGACCCCGTAGCATGACAGCTACCTGAAGGGGTGAGGCATTGTCTCCCCCCCCACCCCCCACCTCCCACCCCCGCAGCTCTGCTCACACCGTCTTGCTGTCTGGGGGTGGGGGACCAGGCTGGTGCGGTGGGTTCAGACAGTTTCCAGAACGGAGTGCCCGGGGGTTCCAGGTTGGCACCTGGTCGTGGCTGGATGAGCTGTTGACTTCAAAGCTGAGCAGGAGGCTGATGGGAAGGGAGGGGGCAGGCGCCAAGGGCCTTGGGGGCTGAGTCCCTGCCCTTCCTTGGCCCACGCCCTGCTCTCCTCCCTGTCACCTCTCCCTGGGGAGGGGCTGAGCTGTGAGACCGGGTCTAGACCTGGTTTTGGGACTTTGCCCAAGTGTCTCCCCATGTACACTGGGCGGTGGAGTAAAGATATGTCCCCGGCCCCAGTCCCCGCACCCCCGCACCCCCTCCCCCAACTCTGTCTCTCTCGAGCTGGCATCCCCTCCCCAAAGCCAGCCCACGCCCCTGCCAGGGGAGAGGGAACTGTGGGGGCAGGCGGGATGGGGGCTCCTTGCTACATGCTCAGGGGGCAGCTACGTGCCTCAGGGCAGTCTGACATGGCTCTGTCCCCTCCGCAGGACGCCATCGGGGGCCGGTTTGACGCCACCCAGGCGTTCGTGGGGGAGCTCAGCCAGTTCAACATCTGGGACCGCGTGCTGCGCGCCCAGGAGATCGCCAACATCGCCAACTGCTCCACCAACCTGCCGGGCAACGTCATTCCCTGGGTGGACGGCAACGTGGACGTGTTCGGGGGCGCCTCCAAGTGGCCTGCCGAGACCTGCGAGGAGCGGCTGCTGGACTTGTAGCCGCTCCTGGTCGGGGGCCGGCTCTGCTCACGCCCCGGCTGCACCGCCAGCACCTCCTGCCTGACCAGCCTGAGGCTCTACGGCAGCACGTGCCTCTGGCTTCTCTGTTCCGTACCCCGGTTTCGCTGTTTTGGGGGTCGGGTCAGAGTCCCCGGGGAAAGCCCTGAGCCGCCGGGCTGTGATCTGACTTCCTCCTGGGGGGATTGTAGACCCCAGGCGCTGTTCGGAACCCCTGACAATGCTAGTGCACCCCAACCTGCCCACCCCTGGTCCTTGGTGTCTCGTGAGCTTCTCTGTGTGTCCCCTTCGCAGGCTGTACAGCCATCCCGTCCGAGTGGCCGTGACCTTTGTGTGCTGAGTGCATCCTGCTGCCCCCTGAGCACGTAGCACGCGGCCCCACCCCTCCTGCCCCCCAGTCCTCTATGCCACGAACCAGGAGGCGGGCAGCCAGACGTGCCCTGCCCCCGCCAAGGTAGAGGGGGGTCTGTGGCTCCGGAGAGGGAGCCGAGAGGGGTGCTCAGGCCACATCTTGTCCCCTCTGTCGCCTCTCCCTCGGGTCAGTGCTTTGTCACCGCATGTGGCTTTCCAAGGCCTCTCTCTCCTCTCCATGGTGCCAACGGTCCAGGCAGCTCGCCAGCCCCTCGGAATGCTCTGGGGAATGTATGTTCCCGGTGACGGAAAAGGCCGGCCGGCCACCGGCTCCCACAGGCGATGTCTCCCTGGTGGCGAGCGGTCGGCGCGTTTTAATCCACGCTGGTTCCTGGGTGCACCTGACTGTCCCCGGTGCTGCCCCCGCAGTGTCCCCGGGGCCTGGGCATCATCGGGCTCAGAATTTGCCTCCGGGCTCCGGGCTGCCGCGTGCGTGGATTGGACGGAGGGGGTCGTGGCTATTGTAAAGACAAAGCGATGGCCTAGGGAGATTTATAAAGCGAAATATCATATATTTTATTTTTCATACGTGTTCGAAGTGCAAATCTGTGGAGATCCCATGTGTAGGGCCACGAGGACCTGCCCGTGCTGACCTTGTGTGATGGCTCTGTGGCAGGTACCCAACGACCGGCCGTGGAGTGGTGATTAAAGCTCACAGGAAGAGGCCTGGGCGTCGGCTTTCTTTGTGTCCGGGGGGAGGGCAGGGCGGGAGGAGGCAGAATAGCCACCCTGCTTGGCCTGGGCCTGGCCACCAGGGGCACGGCTGGGCCCGGCGTCTGCTGGACCCAGGGAGCTGAGGGCGCTGGCAGGAGGGAGCGGTGCCCTTCCCTACTCAATCCAGGCCCAGGCGGTGGACGCCCCGCAGGCTCTGCCGGCCTCCCTGTCCCCCGCCCAGCCCCGTCTTCCCAGCAGGGAATCAGGTTCAGCAACACGACCCAGGGCTCCCCTCCCCAGGCTTGACCCCTGTTGGGGCCCCTCTGTGCTCTGCCGTCCACCTCATCCCGTCCTCCCTCGGCAGTCCCCGTTCCCGGGCGAACACGGGATCGGTGAGGCAGGGATGTTTGCAACGTGCAGCTTGATCGGGAAGCTTGTCAAGGCCAGGCTGTGCATGTGTGGTGACGTGACCTTGGCTTTGACAGGCGGCCGGCTGTCCGCTGTTTTCTCAGGGAAGCGCAAGGCAAATTTACCAGGCGGCTCCACCTCTCTCTCCGGAGCTGCCAGCGCCAATGTTCACGGGCACGTCTTAAAGCCTTGCTCAAGCAGAAGTAAGACCCAGCAGATTGCCTCTCGCGGGGAGATTGACATTTCCTTGTCACTCATTATCCGACGCAGGAGAACATGTCCCCGGGGAGAGACGCAGCCCAGCCCTGGCTCTCCGTGGTGAAGGGCGAGGTGTGTGGGTGGGGGGTAACCCATCATGCAGGGTCTGTGTCTTGGCTCCACACTCAGGTCTGACAAGAAATACACCTGTTTTCTTTCTTTTATTTTTTAAATATATTTTATTGATTTTTTTACAGAGAGCAAGGGAGAGGGATAGAGAGTTAGAAACATCGATCAGCTGCCTCCTGCACACCCCCTACTGGGGATGTGCCCGAAACCAAGGTACCTGCCCTTGACCGAAATTGAACCTGAGACCTTTCAGTCTGCAGGCCAACACTCTACCCACTGAGCCAAACTGGTTAGAGCTACATCTATTTTCTTCAAAGGCTACTTATTGGGAGACATCACGTATACAACAGACTGGGTGAGACACGTACACACAGCTTTACAATAACCATCCACAAAGATTTGCGTACCGACCACGCGGTTTTAGGAATATTTGTTCAGTGCCTGCTGTGTGCCAGGTTCGATTGTAGGTACGCTGTAGTTATCAATGAACAAAAGGGAAAGAAGGTTCTGCCCTTGTGTAGCCAACATTCTGGAGGTTGACGGTAACTACTATCCACGGGAGTAAGAAAATTACGCTGATTTGTTAGAAGTTGGATCTGGGCTGAGGGAAAGGACGTGTAGGGCAGGAGAAGGAGGAATAGAGTGTGGTGGTGGGGATGGGTTTACAACTTAAATGACATCTGTGCGGAATTGAAGGAGGGGAGAGAACTGTAAGCTTTTGGATGGTGTGTACCTACCAGTACAATCTGTCAGAATGTTCTCTGCGCCCGGTGCCCGGGATGCAATGGCTGGGTGGAAAGATAGGAGCATCTTCACTCTGAACCAGGTATGATGGGCTGGACTGTGGCTCCCCTCAGAGGTGGAAGCCCTAACCCCCTGCATCTATGCACGTGAATGTATCTGGAAATAGGGTCTTCGCAGATGGTCACGTTGAGATGAGGTCATTAAGGTGTGTCCTAGTCCAATATGACTGGTGTCCTCATAAGAAGGGGAAATCCGGACAGAGACCACCAAGTATGGAGGGAAGACCATGTGAAGACACAGAGAATGCCATCTACAGGCCACGGAAACCTGAGACTACCAGAGTGAGGAGAGAGACCCTCCCTCCCAGCCCTCAGAAGGCCGTTGGGCTTGGGAGAGGAGCCTCCACGCGGGAGCCTCTCCACACAGCCCCCTCCTGTTCTGTTTCAGGAGTTCCCATCGCAAGAAGCAGGAAAGCAGAATAAATAAACATACGTGTGCTTCCCGCAGAGAGAGGGGAGTGCAGAGGGGAGACTTTCAGAAGAGCGTCCCGGAGACCCGCAGACTCACTCCCAGGCGGGGGAGGACAGGCGGACGCTGGGACCACCCCGTCTCCATCGGGGGACCTAATAAACCAAGGCTCACCCCCAGGCTTCTCCGCATGCTTGCCCTGCACCCCTTATTCTCTTAACAGTATGATGGAATCGGTTTTATTCCCTGGCATGTAATTTAAAAATAAATTCCATGTTTGGCCTATTTACAAATCTAAGTGTGTACGTGACTGATGAACCTGGAGCCGGGGGGGTGGGGGGTGGGGGGTGGGGGAAGGCCAGCGGGAGAGCCCAGCGCCCCAGCCTCGGGCTCCTGCAGGAACGGCGAGCCCCTGCTCCGCAGCTCGGGGCCACGGGCTCTGCCTCCCCAGCTTCTCTCCGCTGGGACCCCCCCTGGCAGACACTGTCCACATGCCTGGCATGCCCGGCCCTGACCCAGATTGTGGCTAAGCCCTGAGCATGCCCGCAGGGCAGCACAGCCCTGATGCACAGCCGCTCAGCGGCTGACAGCTGGTCACGGAGGCCTGGTGGCTGCGGTGACAGCTGACTGGGTCTGGCCCTGCTGCACTTGCTGTGTGGCCTCAAACAAGTCACACACACACACCCTCCCCTCGCTGGGCCCTCTGGCGAGGCCTGGAGCTTTGGGCATTCCTTGCCCTGAAATCCAGCCAGAGGGTCTTGAGAGCAATTTCTAAAATGAGCCCCGGGGGCTGGCGTTCATTTACGCAACGTGACAGCTCAGGAAAGGCAGGCAGGCATGTGGTTCCCATTGCACAGATGAGGAGACTGAGGCTCGTGGAGAAGAAGGGACTTCCTAGTGCAGAGGAGGCTCGCTCAGGATCTGGCCTGGCCTTGCTGTCCTGAGGGCACACGTCACACAGAGACCCGGGCAAAGGGGGCGGGAGGTGGGGTTACCACTCCTCTGAGGCATCTGTGTGGGAACCTGGGGCAGCCATGGGCAGGTGCCCAGGACAGAGCCTGGTTCCCATGTCCTCGGGGCTCCCCTTGCCCCTGCCGGGTTCTTTCTCTCTCCTTAGCAAATATTTGCCATTCCTGGGTGAGCTGCTGCCATGGTGACAGCACCCCGGGAGCGGAGGGTCCACGTTGGACCTCAAACCGCTTTAACATCCAAGACCCAGAGTCAGCAGCCGCTTCTTGGAATGGATCTGTGGGGGACAGCGGCCCAGCGCCCTGGCCTAGGGGCCGGCAAACTCCTCAGTCCACAGAGCCAAACTTCAACAGTGCAACGACTGAAATGTCTTTGGAGAGCCACATGTTTTAAACTTAACCTTCTTCTAACGCCACTTCTTCAACATAGACTCGCCCAGGCCGTGGTGTTTTGTGGAAGAGCCACACTCAAGGGGCCAAGAAGCCGCCTGTGGCTCGAGAGCCGCAGTCTGCCGACCACGGCTCTAGGCTTACAGCCCTTTGCTGGTGGAGAGCTGGGGAGGCTGGAAGAGGCTTCAGGGATCCCCAGACCCCGCAGCCCTGGGCGGGAAGAACAGCCCGAGACCACGCAGGCGCCCTGGGGAGAACACCCCTGAGCCCAGGCGGCACCGGCCCCGCCAGGCTCCCGGAGAAGCATCTGCAGAAAAACAATGAACAAGGGCAGAGGCTGACACTCAGGCCGGGGAGCACCTGCCCCCCCCCCGCCCCCTCCCGCTCCAGAGATGCGGACAAAGCCGTGAGACCGGCCCAGCCCCTACGGGACCTGCAGCTTTTCCCAGGACAGTGGCGGGCCGTGGGTCCGTTTCCATCTCCGCTGGCCCGGATCGCTCCGGATTCATAGCCAAACTCCGACAACCGGCAGGGGAACCGAATATTAAATTCCAATTAGCTGGAAGCAGAGAAAGAAATGACACGCCACCCAACTGGAGTGTAAACCATGTTTCCTGCATTAACGTGGAGATTTTAACATCTCGCCGATTGCCGGCTGCTTCGGGGCGCCTCCACTGGGTGGGTGTGGGCGACCAACGGTAAACTGGGAGGGGGCGGGGGGGGGCCTGACCAGCAGGAGGGATGAGGGGGGTTGGTCCACCCACCTGCCCGCTAAGGGGGTGCCCTGGCCAGCGGCAGGATTATGAACCCCTGCTGTGCTAGTGCTCAGGGCGGTTCCCAAAATGCCCAAATGCCGGCCCCATAGTGTCATGCCCTTTCTTTCCATCTCTGCTCTGCCCGTCTTCAGGCCCAGCTCCCTTCCCCTGCGCCCCCTGCGCCCCCTGCGCCCCCTGCGCCCCCTGCTCCAGAAGTGGCCCTGGCCACACCTGACTTCTCCCCTGCCTTCGAACTGCAGCTAATGGACTGTGTGCTGGATACTGGGGTCTCCAGCCTTCTTAACACCCCCTCCCTTCTCCACTGTGTCTGGGGCGGGGGGGTACTGAGCCCACACCCATCGCCGTTATGGGCCCTGGCTGTTCTAAACCCCTTAGGGTAACCCCACTGTTAGGGGCTGAATTATGTTCCCCAAATTCATATGACGAGGCCCCAGCCCCCGGTGCTGGGACGGTGACCTTAGTGGGAGAGAGGGCCCTCCAGGTATTTATTGGATTGACAGGACGAGGATTGTTTATCCTGATGAACAAATGTTCTTAACTGGGACAGCTTTATACCTGCTGCTTCCCTCTTTCCCATTACTCCTGTCAAACTAGTTTTTGTACCCCAAACATGTAAATTTACACTTTCTCTTTTTTTCTAAGTTTGCTAGCATGGCATAATGAAGGCGTTGCAGTCAGATCTGATTTTAAATCCTGCATTTCCACTGAAATTGTGGTGTGACCGTGGGCAAGCGACCTCACCTCACTCAGCTGGGAAAATGAGGAGCATCTGGAGGTGATCTGATGAGTAAATGTGAGCTCAGCTTCCCTTGTCCTTTACGATTTTGAGAAGGTTTCTGGCTCCTTCTCTGTTCCCACATCCCTCAAACGACAAACAAGGTGAACCCACCCCTCTGTATTTTGTAAATTCAATCAAAGAATTGTAATGTA